TAATTTCTTTGTTTTTTTTTCATTCTCTAGATCTACCCCCGCGTATATAGTTTGAGTCGTGTGCGCGCACAATAAAAAAAAAAACGAGCCATTCGAGAATTGTCCCATGCACTCGTCTATATTTGTCCCACTGTCTCTCTATCGCGTTTATTATATCAACGCGCGGTGGGCCGCCGTCGCGCTCGTGCGAGCTTTATTATGTAACATACGTATAACATCGCCAGCCGCGGCTATGCTCACCTTTTCACAGTAGGGTTTTTAATGAGCTTTCGCCGAGCGAGAATTTATAAGCCGTGTTTCCCTATGGATACCGTAATAAAATGTATAATAATACGCGTGGGCAGCAGCAGCAGCTCTTTCTCTCTTGACTCCGATGTATATATGTGTAACGAGCGCGCAACAGTTTCAATTTTCTTCTCTCTCTCTCTCTCTCTCTCCTCGTGCTGGCCACCCCACGACGACCCCTTCCTCCTCTTTTGCCTAAAGCCCTTATATAGGATATAATGAATCTTATCTACCGACCGAGGCGTACGTAGATATACATCTCTCCCTCACTCTGCGACTTATATGTAAGTCGAGTGTAAATCCAGTTTGAACTTTGCCGACCGGAGCCCTATACCTACGTGTACCTACGCTGTACAGGTATACACCTTGGCTACTGGGCTAGAGCTATATATCGCTCGAGAGTAATCACTGAAAATTAATGCTGGTACGTAACTGGCCGCTGCCGACGACGGCTCGTTTCCTATTCTCGTTTGTTTTCTCTCCAGCGTGTTTAACTTGTGATTACTGTTTGGATTTTCTTCGTCTGCGTACTCAAAATTCTAGCCGTGTGCAATGAAAAATCAAACGTTGAAATTAAAGTAACTGATACTGCACTTTGTTTAAAATACTTTAACACGACATTTTTGAAGAAAATAAATGTATCATTATCTTTTTTTACATTAATAGCACAAATATGCACAAAAATGAAATAATATACTTTGATATTTAATTGAAAACTGAACGAAAAAGATTCAATTCTATAAACTCAAACTTAAACAATGCGATTGAGCATAAATGGTATACTCAATCATAGTTAAAACCAGCATCTACCACTAAATGGGGAGTACCTTTATCTATAGATCTGTAAGTGGCAAAGTCAAATAATAATATAAGTACAGAAGGATTTTTTTTTCATTCATGTTTGATATTGCGATTTACGATTTGAAGCAATTCGAGAGACGTTGCTGTACTGAAAGCTCGATAAGACTTGCCTTTCGCCGCGGGGGTGAGATTAATTATATCCAAATTAGTATTTCAAAGTTAGTCATTCCGATCTTGGCAAATTTCGAGCATTCTAAGACGAAGTTCCAACATCGGTGACAGTTTTCAAGCTATATATCTCAAACATTCGCTTTCTTAAATCACGCTTTAAATTTATGCAACTCTCTCCCTCTCACTTTGGCTTACGTAGCCATCCATGGGTGCTATTATTATATGTACATAATGCTCCGTCGAGGTAGTAAGAGCAGAGCCGTGTACGAGCTATAGCACCCCAAAGTTTCCTCGTTCGGCTCGTATTATGCGCAGCTCGTTCTCGTTCCTCGGGCACACGCCGCCCCCGGTTAAACATTAAAACTACGCTCACGAGTGCTTGTATAAAAAAAAGAGAGAGAAAAAAAAACGGTCGGCCATCGGATGATGAGGATCATCGTTGCAGCGCGCGCGTCGTGCAAGCCGTGTCGCGCGTACTCGCAAAAAATGCCAGAGATTTTCAATGTGTCCGAAGAATTTCGCTCACTGTAATGGCAATTCCTCCTGCTTCTTCTTTTTTTTCACTTTCAAAGTACAAAGTTTCCGCGCGAGTGCATGTCGTACACGGCAAAAAAAAACGAAAAAAAAGCAACAACGAAAAAAAAAAGGAAACAGAAAGCTGGGTAGAGAAACGAGGTCAAAGCTAGTGTTCGTTATCGCAAGTACGCTCGTTGGGGGGAGCAGAAAAAAAATCGTCGTCGAGAGAGAGAGAGGAGGACGAGGAGAAAACGGGCCCTCGTGTACACGTATATACTCGAGCTTATAGCCCCGTATACATTTATCGCGTACATCCTGCTCTTATACTCACTCGCTAGAGCTCGAACTCTTTATGCGACGTGCATGCATGCAAGAGTCAAGTGGACGTGGGCACGAAAATGCGTCAAACGTGAAAGTCGCGCGCACAAGAACCCACACCCTTGCCTCTTTTAGCGCAATACCTTTCGAAATAAGCCGTAATAAAATTCGCTCTTGATTTTTTTGGAAAAGGATATGCAACAAACAAAAACTGATTAAACGAGTACGGATAGAGTTGAAAATTGTTACGAGTCGTTTGCAGTATCTCGAAATAAGGGAGAGAGACAATATCGGATCGCTCTTGTCTGTCCGGGCTACAGGACAATGTCGATCTATCGCCGCAAGAAATATGATGAACGCGTCGAGGCTGACTTGCAACTATACAATACGTACGTACCACCACCGTAATGAAACGTCGTTGGACGATTGATACCCGACACGTCGTCGTTGTCGTTGTGTATCGCACACAGCTTATTTATATCGCGAACACAGAATCGACTCTACATATAATCGAGCGACATCTCGCATTTGAGTTATTAGCAGGTAGTGGCCGCACGGTATCGCGCTAATCATCGTCATCGTCGTCGTCGCATGTGCTCAACGATACGCGCGCGCGACGACGACTCATGCTCGTGAATATAATACACAAGTATACAGGTATATATAGTATATAAAAGAGGATGTATGGCGTGGGGAGGAGGAGGGGGAGTGAAACAGGGTGTAGCAAGTAGCAGCAGCAACATCAGCTCGATGTATGCCATTAATCAATCGCGAGGATAGAGACTCGCTTGCTGGGCTGCAGCAGCAGCAGCAGCAGCTAGTAGTGCACGCTATAGTTCCGCGGGCTGTGTCTGACGTCAGCTGCTAGTAGTATGACGTCGCTTCGATCAGCCGATAGGTGCATGCAATATAGCAGCAGCAGCATCGTGCCACATTACGCGACACTTCGGTATTATACATAGGAAGCTAACTACTTGTACTCGCCGTGTTGCTTATTTTTTTTTTTTTTTTTTTTTTTTTACCGTATTACATACTTGACGGAGTTTTTTTTTTTCGTCTCTCTCTTTGCTTACTGCCTTTTTATTTATTGTACACTACACGGCGTGGGCCCTCCCTCTCTCTCTCTCTCACTCTGTCATTTTTATTTTTTATTTTACTTTTTTCAAATTTGTTTTATCGAGTCGCTGCAGTTTCACGCGACGGACCATACACGCGCTCATCGCCGATAAAGACCTCGTTTTTTTCGTTATTGACGTATCGATTTTACGGGTTGCGCGCACTCGTTAAATATCGTTATGCGCGGCCGACTGCTCGTATACGTTCGCGCGCGCGATTGATCGATGCCGATCAATTCGGCGGCGTTCGCTCTGGCATTTTTTCTCTCTCTACTTTTTTTTTTTTTTTTTTATCGATACAAACAGGACGACAAACGAGAATGAAGTGCCTGCTGTTGTGTTGTCGCGCGCGTGATTCCTTCCGATTTGTCGCGGGGGCTTCGCGCGCAGCTGCCATATACAGTGTTTGTTCTTTTTCACTTTCACATTACTCTCTTCTGTCGGAGAGACTGCAATTTTTCATTCCGCTCGCGCGGCGTATGTGTAGATATACCTATAGGTACGTATATGAATATAAACTTGCGCCAAGTTATATATCGAGCTGCGCAAATACGCGCGGTATGTAAAGTTATTTTTGGAACGCGCGACTAGATCGCTTTTTTTACAGTACTTACTGTATACGCAATGAGCCGAGACTATATTTGCATCGAGAGATTCGATCCTTGTGCTCGCGCACCTTTGCATGCGGCTAGGTACTACATAACACATAAACAATTTGAAATTATTTTATTTGTGTGTGCTTATTGAATAAAAAAATTGTTGTTTCTTTCAAATTTATTTAATTAAATGATGTGGTAAATCTACAAAATTCAATAACCCCGGACATACAACAAATGCTTTAAATATGCTTATTGTCATCAAGACGTTATTGACTGAATTGTTTATTATAAAAAGCAAGAAGGCAACGCAATAAAAATAAATCTACTGGTTAGCGATACTTTTTTATTTTATTTATTTCATAACAATAAATAAAAAAAACTTTTGAGCATACATAATATTACAATTTTGTTAAAACTTGTTTAGCCCTCATTGGTTTTTTATTATTACATTTTATTACGTTTGTTATAAGATTTTCGTTGCTATTTTCAGCATGTAGCAAAGTCTAGGCACAAATCTCAGCCAGTATTCTTATCCCTTAAAACTTCTGATTATGTACTGTATTTATGTGAATTTTGAGGGTACCTTTTTGTCCACATTATTTGTGACAAATCTCACAAGCGAAGGGCTTATTGTAATCATGTACTGTATTTACGTGACGTTTTAAGTCATTTTTTAGTCCGAGGGTTTTGCAAAATTTATCACATTCAAAGGATTTGACACGATCATGTACTGAATTTATGTGAGCATTTAGGTGACGTTTTTGTCTAAATGATTTACGATAAATATCACACTCGAAGGGTTTGCTACGATCGTGTACTGCATTCATATGCCTTTTGAAGTTACATCTGAGTCCAAATGATTTGTGCCAAATACCACATTTGAAAGGTTTGATACCATTATGTACTGCACTTATGTGTCTTTTGAGGTCACTTTTCAGTCCAAATGACTTTTGACACATCACATTCAAAGAATTTACTCCGATTATGTACTACATTTATATGAAATTTGAGGACACTCTTGCATCCAAATGATTTGTGACAAATCTCACATTGGAAGGGTTTGCTATGATCATGTACTGCAATTGAGTGTCTTTTAAGTTTACTTTTTTCTGTAAATAGTTTGCGACAAATATTACATTCGAAAGGTTTACTATGATCATGAACTGTATTTATATGAATTTGAAGGGTACTTTTTTGTCCAAATAATTTATGACAAATATCACATTCGAAGATTTGGCTCTGACCGTGTACAACATTTATGTGTTTTTTCAAGTTTTTCTGGCATCTAAACGATTTTTGAAAAATATCACAATCAAAACGTTTGCTCTGATAATGTACTGCATTTATGTTAGTTTGTATGTTACGTTGATAAGTAACTGATTTGTGAAAAATCTTACATTTATATGGTCTAATATCTTTATGTGCCAAGTTGATATTTGTTTTTGAATTCGTTATTTCTTTATAAGTTTTGACTTTATAGATTTGAGTAGTTTTTCGAAATATTTCATCCTTCTTGTATTCTTCAATTATCGATCTGGGATTTTTTTGAAATTGACAATTATTATGGTAATCAAAATCTTTTTTTATCAAAACAATTGGACCTTTTTCATTTCGGGTTTCTAATTTCCCTACAGGCGAATAACTCTGATACTCAGATTTGCAGATGCAAGTTGAAAGAGACTTCAGTTTAGGTTCAACATCTTTACGCTCGCAATCAATGAATATTTTTTCATTCAAATAATTTGCCTGGTTTTGGTTTTCTATTTTTACGATGGGTTGCAAATTGTGATACTCAGATTTGCAGATTGTTGTCGATAGAGATGTCGGTTCAAATTGACTGTTTTTCATTCAAATTCTATGGATAGTTTTCTATCTACTTTTTCTTGTAACCAATCAGCCTCATTTATGTGGTTGACCTAAAATTAAAATTGTATAATAATTTTCAAAAAAAAGAAAAAAAGGATATTTTTTAAAATGTCGAACTCACTGATGATTGATTAAACGTGAATGTTCCCATAAGTTTTTTACTTCGCAAGAATTCTCCGAATCGAAATTATAATTGTTGCTTGCATCTGACCAAGTGTCGTTCAGCTCTCGCTTAACACTGAAAAATAATAAATTTTGATCGATCGAGTTTCAAAAAATATCATGAGTTTTACAAAAAATGTTATAGACCTAACTACGACATTGCTACTTTCCATCCTTCTTATAAAATCACAGAAAATTTTCACGATAGTCACTGAAAAGTATTCGAGGTTATGTGCCTCGTGCTTCGATTTCACTAATTTGTAAACACTTGCTGTTACAAAAATAGAGTTCTCTTTGCACGCAACTGTTTGCACTATTCATACATTAGCGAGATTTATTATAGCGATTGTGATAGCTCCTTGGCGATATTTCCCCCTCCAGCATCGACTGACCATAAGCAGTAACACAATGCCTTACTTATAGAGGGACTCGTATGTCGTTTGAAACTGCACCGAAATCGTATAATGAAAATAGCATTCATTCAGGCGCAAATTTTGTTTACACATGCATATTTTTTTCGTAAAATATCTATTAAGTTACTTGTATAAGTAGAAAAAAATCCACCAATCAAGAAAAAACATAGAAGCACATTTAACGAATAAATACATGTATTTCTATCCGAATTTCTTTCGTCGTGTATGACACATTACTGCTAAACATATTGGTAATAGTATAATGATTATGATGAGCGTAATAATAACACGTGTCGATGGCGATGGTGCTGAAAAAATCATTTTCAAGTCAAGTTTTACAGCAATTAACCTTATTACTCGGCGTTGAGCGTATTATAAAGTGTCGACGAGTGCAGCGAAAACCGCAAACTCTATAGAGCTCGGCCTCGTTCGCCGTTATATAATATTATGCTCTTATTCGTGCACACATATAGCGTTAAAGGATTAGGTTTATATTCACTTAATTGCAGCTCGTTCGCTCGCCTTTGAGCTTTTAGCGCTTAGTGTGTGTATAATATTTTCGAGAAAGCGTCGTCATCGTCGCTCGAGAATACATATATCTGTAAGATGCGAGCTTGCGAGCTTCTGCACTGCCACGGGCAATTATTTTCCATGAATTTTCTCTGCGCCAAGATACGCGCACGGCGTGAATATATATGCACGCGTATACATAGAGGGTTAACACGTGGAAAGCGAGCTTCGAAACGAGCTTAATTTAATTTGCTAGATCGGAGGGGGTGGTCGGGTCAGCCAGGCAAAAAGGAAAACGCGCGTGTTGTTATAACGTGTGTGCACACATACACACTCACACACAATGAAAGTATATACGCGCGTCGCTATTAAATAGACGAAGGACGATACACACGCCGATGAATAGCCTTGATATCGCGCTGCGATGGAATTCAAGCGCGGACAGCAAACGGAAAAAGAGCTGGAGAGCTTAATGACGCGATATCGAGCTACAACATCGACGATGCCCGGCGATCTCGACTAGCATCATCGACGCGCATCGGTGTAAAAAAGAGAGAGAGAGAAGAAAAAAAGATGCGGACGATCGGTATATAGGAAATATTATAGCTATATGTGCATTAGACGAGAAGAGCCAGTGCAAATGGGTGGGGCAAACACTAGACGCTGCACGGGCATGACCTCGCGTGGCCGTGTAGTTACATCTATATCGCTACCTCAGCTGCAAGCTGCAACTTATGTTTACGTGTGTGTGTGTGTCTGTGTGTGGTTCGTATACGCAATGAGAGATATCAGCAATTGCATCGCACACGCGTACTACTCTCTCCGGGCCATACGTAACGCTACATATACGCGAAGCTCTCCCTCTTGATCACCAGGTGTTCAGCTGCACAGTACGAGAGAAAGACTTATGTATACGCAGTTGAAGCGGTGGCAGCTATATGCTCATAGCCGAGCGGTCGAAAGCTTTGTACGTGTATAGAAAGTATAGATAGGCGCGCCTGCGCTAGTCCACTCCTGATGCTGCTGCTGCTCACGCGTACATAAGATATAGCATAGAGAGAGAGAGAGAGAGAGAGAGATAGAAAGAGACTAAAAGAGCTGTATCGATTGGATTCGTATATTATACGGGCGAGCTTGCGGCCTGTACGCGCTCTGCTGCTCGTATCATACGTATATCTGTTTTTTCCGCACGAACTCACGCACACATCCGCTTCATTGATTCTCCGCGTGTATCCGCGCGTACATCACATGTAGCCGCGCGCAACAGCTAAAAAGCTCGAAAGAGAGAGAGACAGGAAAATAGGTAGCGGTTGGGTTGGGTGGCGAACGCAGAAATTTTGCGACGCGATGCTCGTCACGCTGTAGTACAATTTCGTGCTTTTATTTATCATCGATGTATCAAGGCCATCACGATCTTTATACATTCTAGAGCGCGCGCGATGCTGCGATGACGTTTCCAAACGATCTCGTAAATGAGGTCGTAAATGGAGAAAGGGAAGCTACAAAAAATTGAAATAAAAGCTTACGTGATCGATCCACCAAGGATGAAAATGGAAAACGGCTCGAGACACAAAGATATGATCGGTATGACAATTGTAAAACTAAAGGGATATAATATTGATAAATTATGATGAAACTCTCACGATGCCGTGGACAATTGCGTTTCAGTGGACACACAGGCAGGGACAATCGGCATGCCACAGGTTGCGAGCAGCTATCATATACACACCTCCCTCCTTTCTGTGTCTCTCTCGCCACCGAATATCATATACCTACATCCATTGATCCTTTGGCCGCACCGTGCCATTCAATAACAGATTTCCCACCCACGCACCTGCATCGCAAATTTCTATGGGTGTGCGTGCGGATAACGGCTCTCGAGAGAGTACCTTGCTTGGGTGAAATGCTCAACCCTATTAATGACATGATAACCAAAAGATGACAGTTCAAAATGTTTTTTTGGACCAATTATGTTAAAAATATTAAAGGCGGTTTGTGCGTTAATTAAACTGTTTCAAAAAATGTAGACTTGTTGTCGAACACTTCAATTAGGATAATTTTACTTTGAACCTCCACCACAAGGTGGCAAATAACTTTATTTGTAAATATGCAAGTGTTAAAATCCAAATAATTATATAAAACTGCTATAAATTGATGCCGATGAACAGTAATAAGTTTTTTCTCTTCGTGAACCGAACGCATGATACGTACATTACATTGCACAGGGCGTGTAACGAATACAAATTTGCTCCTTCTCTTCCTCTCGCTTTCTATCTAGTTCCCCGAGTCGCGCATATAAATAAAAGCGTTGGCAGTTTACGTGGCGCGATTCCTCGATGCAACACGACGCTCCATTTGTTGCGCACGACTTCGACGCGCGTTCAATGCAGAGCTTGCGCGCGCGCGACTTGCGAACTTTGCTTATTCAATAATACACGGCTTTCGAATCGAATTTGATCGATACTTAAAGTTTCCCGTATATTTACTGGACCATGTATTGGGCGCGATTTCGTGTATATCAAATCCGCCAGCGGTGGAAATTCGATCCAAGATTATTTTTCTGTACATATCGCGCGGTGAATATAATATTGAAAAATTCGACTCGACGCGGAGAACTAAATTCGCAGTGTAAACATCGGAAGATTGTTTGATTCGCGTGAATATGAAAATCGACGGAACTGGAGAGATTTACGTGATTGGAAGGATCATGTGCGTGGATGTATTCGGAGGGATCAGTATGAAAATTACTTTGCTTATTCTTTTTCACTCTTAGTATATATCGAATACGCAGCTCGAGAAAGTATGTGTGGGGGTGAAAAATAGCTTTGTTATATAGTATATAGTGCAGTATCGATAGCACGTGAATGCGAGTTATTTATTTCGTACAATCCCTGATAGAAATGCTCAACATTTCATGACAAGTTTTTGGACAACGTAAAAGTTTCTTAGATGCACTAGACTGCTCTTAGAACTAGACCTGTAACAATTAACAGTGCAATATTTTTTCTGACATTTCAATTTTATATAGCGCTCCAAGTATTTTTTTTTTTGCTATTGAACGATCTCTCAATGACTTAATGAATTTCAAATCACAATTTCGATTACTTGATGAAGGTCACATAATGAATAGTCTTAAAGAATGTCTATCGAGGAGCGCGCTCGCTCTGGCATATACACTTACTTTCACTTTGCCACTTGCAGATTTACACATACACACATGCTCGCCATCTAGTGATGGAATTTTAAACTTGTACTATCATATTCAAAGTGGTTAAAAATTAACCTGAATTTTTTGAATTATCATTTCCGGTCATTTGAAATTCGTTTAATGTTTGTAACAAAACTCACCGAAGCGCCAATAAATGTATAGTTAAATATATCAAAATATTTCAAATGATAATTTTGTGGTCATTAACCCACACTATTAATATTCAGCGTCAGGGACAAAAACAAACTAACACCATTGACTTTTCTCCTTTTTGAATTAAAAAAAATACGCGGGTAAACTCTGAAAGATAATAATCGCGCGAACACCGTTCCAAAGCTCGCGAAATGAGGAGGAGCTATTATAATTCAAGCACGTGCGTGAGCTGCGCGCACAGTCGCGCACGATGTTTTTAACTTGGCGAGCAACATAAATATCGCCGTTTCAAGTGTTTTCTCGTTCGCGTATATACATAGTTCTCGTGGCGCTTTTTCATCCTTTCCTGCGACATTTCATTTATAAAAGCACATATGCCCGGAGTCGTATTATAATAGAAGCCAACCTCGTCGTGTTATCTCGTTGAGCCAATCGAGCCGTGTGTGTATTTATAATCCCCGAGCTTTTTTATTTTCAATCCATGCCATTCAATCTGCGTACTATAAATATAGAGAAAAAAATATTTCATTCTCTTATCTTTTAATAGCGTTTTTATTTCTCGTGTATAACTGAAGTGGGGCTAGAACTAATTTTTCGTCCTTTCTTTTTTAGAGTGTCCGATGTCGGACGACGGCATGGAGAGGTTCGCGTGCCCGACTGCCGACGAGATGGGTCGATATCGCTGCATAGACGATCACGTGCTCTGCGACGGCTTCCTCGACTGTCCCGGCAGCGAGGACGAAGACAGGCATGCCTGCTTATTTTACAAAACCGTAAGTATATTTATGAATTATTATTATCATCATCGCGACGTTGTAAATCAAGTTTAACCGCGTTTCTTTGCTAATAATAACTTTCTTGGAAAATTTTTATTGCACGAATGGCGATTCAAAGCTGTATAGTACCTTTCACATGCTTATACGCATAAAAGGCAAAAAAAGAAATCAAGCCAGCTTGAAAACTTAACAGCGCGTGCTAAGAAATGCTGAGAGCTGCAAAAAAAAGTACAGCGCGACGAAAAGGTTTTTTTTCTTTGGTCGCGCGTACTTAAACGGGGGTCACCAGCAGCAGCACGCACCGAGACATACAGCTCGCATGAAATAGAGCACGTGCTCGACCACTTGTGTCGCGTTCAACCGCGTGTGTATATGTACTTTTTTTCTTTCTCGAACTCACTCACCTCCCTTTTTTTTGCTTTTTCTCTCTGTTCGCAACAGACGAAGGCGCATCTCGACGTTCTAGCCGATGCCCTCTTGCGCTGGGCGAGAGGCCGTTAAGAGAGAGACGTGTACCCCAAAGACTTTCTATATCGAACGACGTCATCATACTTCATCGTACTACTGTCAATAACCGCCAGCAGCAGCAGCAGCAGCAGCAGCATCACCGCACCCTCCTGCAACAACTACATCAACAACAGCAACAATTGCACAGTCAACGTGTGCAGCGCATAATCGTCTTCGTCATCGTCGCCTCTTTCTTCGTTCTCCCGCCCGTCGACACACGCATTACTATTGTTATTTTATAAAACTCGATCTTCGTGCTCGATTAATATTATACACGAATAACAGTCAGAAAATTCCCCCTACACACACTTTCTCTCTTTCGTGACCATCATCCATCTTTCTTCTCTCTTTCTTTGCTGTACCGCATATATAGAGAAAAAAATACGAAATATCTGCTGACTGCAGCTCGTGTATGTACATGTATAATATAGCCACAGCGACTCCGAAGCCGTTAACGCGTCTCGGCTCTTTTCCTCTCGCAGCTCTCTTTGTAATGCAAACTGCGGGTCGCATCTCGAAAGTCGCTCCTCCGAGTCTCGAGAGAAATTACACCGAGACCTATGATGCTTCATTTTCCCTTTCGCACGTTATCTATATATAGAACGGATTATATTTTTTCGTATATATTATACAAAGGTGTGGACCGACTAGTCAACAGCAATAATTCGTTCATTGCAACCCTGACAACTGCATTAATAATTACATTATTATCAAAATATGCTCGTACCGATGTAAGCGAATTTGACTCTCGGCAGGCGGCACTATACATTACTTTTCTTACATCGTCATCGTACATGCCTTCGTTTTGATAAGGACTATCGAATACGATTAACTTTTCTACGTAATAAATCGCCCCTCCCCCTAGCCTTTCTACCCTCTTCATTATTTTCTGGATTAATTCGAGTACGATAAATCTAATTTCGCACTTTGCTTTTTCTGAATTATTGTACTGTAAAATTACTTTGATTTTTCGAGCAAATTTTACTCCAATCTGTGGATGTATTCGTGCTCCCAAGCGGCGCTTGACTTTTTTTACACCCTCTCGTGTACAATTTCCATTCGAGCTCTCATGATTTTATTCCGGATATTTCGTAACGCGAAATTTTTGTAAATTCATATACCATCGACTGCTTGATTCTCAAGACTTTTTAACAAAATGTGTAAGCTTCAAGTGAAAGCGGGAAAGATAGGAGAAAAAAGTTTCTATCAGTAATAAAACTATTAAAGTACGTCATTGCGATGATGATTGCGTTGCTACCATTATTATTTTATCATTATTGTTATTGTATCGTTCGAAACTCGATCACGGATTAAGAGGAGCCGCAGAAATATTATAATTATAAAAAAAAATATATATCAGTAATGCCAATGAGACGCGACTCATCACATTATTATGGTATTATAAATAAGTGCATTGCTCATTTGCATGGTGCGTGCCAAAATGTTCGATACTCACGGTGTTTGCATCGCTTGTACATTTTTCGTAATTAAGTACCCGAAAAAAGTACGAAAAAACATAAGATATATTATATTGCATATTTATTCGAAAGATTATGGTCAATAATTAACAAATCAATGACAGAAAATGGGTCAATAGAGTTATGCCCAACGATTACGTATTCATGATTATATATACAAAAGTCAAAATACATGAAAATATACAAAAAATGAAAATTAATTATTGTTACTTGAAAACGTCAAAAAATAGTATATAAATGTGTGTGTGTGTGTGTGTGTGTGTGTGTGTGTGTGCGTGCGTGCACGTGACATGTATATAATCGGGTGGCGAGAGAATATACAAATTACGACAGGAGTCAATTTGGAAGACGTAACATAGAACAAAACGTTTGTTAACTGGCTCGAAAGAAAGTAAAAAGCTCGATCGAGGCGCGTAATAATATTAAAAAATAAATTTGTCGATCGCATTTTTTTCCTCACGTATATTTGTTGTATTTAAGATGGACGAGTAAAAATTATTTCAATCGCCTCGACAGCTTTAAAAATGCTAATCCACGTCAATTCGATGTAGAAACAAGATGATAAGAGAAAATTTAAAATATCAAAAATTATCATAAACGACGTACAATTTGTTCAATTTTGATTGTTAAGATATATCAGACGTTCTGTCATTCAAATTAGAGACATTATTTATTCTGGGACATTATTAACTAATAGTAGTTATATTAAATAAAGCTCCTTTATACGAGAAGTAGCTGCACTGTAAGACTATCGAGAAATCTCAAATTTTTAAAAATTGTTAATGAATAAGTGTTATTTTTGAACAATATATATATATTTAAAAATATATACATAAAACATATAAAAAAAAACATCATTATATCATAATATTATAACTAAAATAAAAGAAATGAAGTGATAATTCACAAACTAAAACAAAAAAATTATTCTTTATGCGCGTCGATCGTAGCAAAAGAAATAATAACCGAGTAATTCCTACTTATGCAGAGAAAGAACGTACAAATGAGGGCGTGAAAATATTGTTGAGAAAAAAAGTATATTATGACTGCTCCGATGCGAGCAGAGCGATATATATATAATAAAAAAATAAATTAAAAAAAAAACAAGACCGCACGTTCATACCTCGTGATAATTGATCGACTCTATATTATTGAAAAATTTTATTTGAAAATTTTTATCGGAAAAATGTTAAAACGTTGTGTCGCTTGCTTATTGTATAAAGCTGAATTGAATTCATTTCTCACGCGCATTCGATAATCGCAAGGCAGCCGATCAGTCATTCGATCAATTGATAGTGAGTGCGAAAAAAAGGCCTTGGCGAAACTTTAGGTGATAATGTCAAAAGGGTCATGGAGTTGCTCAACTTCAAATAAATTGTTCAAAAAGTCACAAATACTATGAAAAGTGTGCTTTCAAAAAAAATATATCTAAATACGTATGGATTTCACATTGAAACATTTAAAAACGCATGTATACGCGTAAACCATGTTCGATTTTGCGCTTCACTGATTTTAACTATAAAATATAAACGAGCACAGATTATAAGAATGAGTCGTTTAGTATAACTGATAGAAAAAAAATTAAAGACTTTACGAAGCAAAGACTAAAGACTCTCTGTACTTAATTGAAAAAGTTTCGTAAAAGTATATTTAATCAACGCGTAACAAAAGTTCGAGTGCACGTGCCCAAAATGATGAATTTTTTGGGACGCACGCAGCAGACTGACCCTTGAATCGGTAGAAACTTAGATCACGATAAAAATACACGCTCGGTAAAATCATTACCGAGATTACACTTGATAATTATAGTTAAATGACAACGCATTTGCAGTTTTATTGGTTCTGAATTTAGTTATAAATATGGTCTGAAAAGAGAGAGAAAAAATAAAATAGTCTAGTAGAGCAGACTGGCTAATTCGATTGAAATGAAACTCATTCAATTCGCTGCAACTTTTCAAATACTCGATGCTGGACTTTTTCGCGATTTTTCATAAATTTGACCCCGAACACTTTGTTCGTTGACGTAATTGCAAAAAAATATATAATAACTCCGCTTTAACGAAGCATAGCTCTTTTACAAATCAAAGAATATAATTGTCAGCTTGAAAATGTGACGAAGAAAAATTTCGATCGTCGCGTGGTTCATTATAATTGATACGCGTTCGCAGCTCTCGCGCTTATATTATAAATACCAATAAAGCATGCTATTTGTGTAATAAATATAATACCGATGATTACAGTTCGATTCAAAGTTGTGATCTCAAGCGTCGTCTTTTTTTACATGTAATACGCTTCAGGTATTTCATTCTTAACCATTAAAATTACTTCGATGTTAATTAAAGAGTTTTTTTAGCGAACTTACTTTGGAAAACATGTTTAATTTCGAGGTTCGATTCGAAAAGGATTAAGAAATCGATACTACTGTTGTCTCTTTCACGCTACGTTTCAGATCTTCTATTTCGCTCGTGGCTTTTATCCGCAAATAATATAGAGTGTGTTTCGTCAAGTTTACCCCCAGGTATCAGTTTATATTGGCAAAAAAAAATTCATACATTCATCTTTCATATTGAAAATAAACCAAGTTCGATGAATCTGTATAATCTAAATAAAATAATTTCTTGACGAATTGATTAAGTATTTTGAGCACGATAAAAAAATTACTAAAGAAAACGATACGAGTTTAAAAAAAAACACGTTGAACAAAAAAAAACTGAGTAAATTTCACTTCTCGAGGATTGAGTATTTTTAGATTATAACTGTACAGGATTAAAAATGGAACGAAGCAAGATAACATATACGTGCGTGTGTATATATATAAATATATTTATAAACTATGTATAGTTAATTGGTAGCTCTTCAAGTAAACATTGAACTCTACATACTAGATTCTTCATTGATATGTTTTCAATTAATAAGTACATAAACGACTTGGCAATCGCAAAACGAACTGTGAAATATTGTCTATGCTCAGCAAATGAACGCGCCAAGACTTTTGTTTTTTTCATTTCCTTTATCTATCCGCTTTTCTATCGGAACCTCGGTTAGTTTGACTTTTTTTTCCTTTAAAACGTTCGATAGGAGAAATATAAGACAAATAATATCATAAATTAATCCATGTATGAATAATATTAGCATATGGAGTTATATATAATTTAATCTTGTCCATAGAAAAGTTAATAACGTGAATATTTTCATGTTGAGACTGGATTATCTTCTTTAAAATTATAATAAATGTTCAATTCATTGGTCATTTTAAATTAATCAACCAATCAATTAACTCAATTGATTAAACGGAATTATTTCAGTATTGAAAGTCTTCTTGTTACTCATGCTTGAAAACTATCATCCCAATCAACGAATGTTATGATTTTATATTGTTATCACGTATGAGAATGAGAATTGAGTGGAGGCAAAACTGAAGTAATGAAATAAAAACATATCTTTTTTCATTTCATCTACGCGATTGTTTGAAAGATGTTGAAAAATTACTGTATTTATAGCTGACAGAATATCAATTTCATTTTAGGAAAAATTATATTTCAATATTAGCTCCTGTAATTGACATCGTAACGCTTCACGCAATTATTAATTGTATCGTTATTTACCGACAAATAAGGAGTTCACAAAACCACTAATGTTAAGGATCGAGTACTGGACCTTTCTTTTGCGACTTGGAATGGGTTTTTACTCTATTTATTTATCATTGGACGACATTATATCATTTTCATAGCAATAAAAATGATGAAAGCTGTAAAGCCTAATTATGCAAGGGAAGGGAGGGCCTATATACAATATGAGTTTTGTCTAAATCTCACCCGAAATCAATAAAGCTACTTTGACAATCACAAACTGAAAGAATTTACATCAAATTATCATTGTAAGCTATGTGTATGCATGAATTATTAAAAACAAATGATTGAAAAAAACTTTGATTTCGTTTCTCATCTCTTATATTATTGTATTACGGTTTACCTTAAATTTGGTGTATAGGGGGCCGAGTCAAAGTTATCCAGTTGCATTTGTACTATAATATTAGTAATAATAATAATAGTAATATTATAATAATAATATTAATAATAATAAATAGGTATTTATTCTGTTAGAAATGTAAAAATGAGAGATAAACTATGTTGTAAATAATAACAAACGGCGCGCACTCGATTGATCATGAATAATATTAAAAAAAACATTAAGGAAGAAGTATAACCCTCCGAAGCAATCCATGATTCTGATGTTGTAAAACTTAAAACAAAATATTAAACGACTGATGTGTAGCGTTATTATTCATCGATATTCTAATATTAAATTCTAATATTAAAAACCCGAAAAAGGTCGCTTCAAAACAAATAAACACAAAAAAGTCAAGCATTCGTCATCTATGTATAACGATTATGAAAAAAAAAATAACGATGCAGAATTCATTTTAATGATAAAGTAACGGGTGAGCATGATTTATGGAATTTGACCATTTATAGATTTACCAAAAAAATAATAATAATATTGTTGATTATATAACTTTGCGGTGTTTTGCTCATTCTAAAATGGTATTTCTACGTACATTTTACATTGGAAGAAATGTAGAGTTTTTCGTATTTCATTCGAGGTCGATAATTTTTGGTTCAACAATTAAGTATTTTACATCCAAGTAAAATGATAAATACTTATACGATTTTCTCTGAGTGTAAATAAACGATACAATTGTGTGTAAAATGTCATAAGTTTGCCTTCATTTCATTCGTTAACCCTGTCCTCAATGATACAAAAATAAAGAATTAACGACTCGACTATTTTTTTCTGATCGGAGCATTGAAAGTTTGTTCAAAAAAACTATAGATCTTTAAATATTCATTCGAAGGATCATTTATAAAATCGACAAGAGTATTTGTGATCCTACACCGTATTTAAAGACGTTGGGGACCTGTTGGTCAAGTTAGGCCACGAAGTTGATACTTCGGATTTTGATGGTTGATAACACTCATAATGTTCTCCCGAAATTTTAGCATCGATTGTCGAATGAATTTTTGTATAATTTAATTTCAAAAGTACACTTTTTAACGTGAAAATTATTGGAAAGTGTAGATTTCTCTTACAATTTCAAGTGTAACTTGAGGTCAAAATGGGAGATCTTGACCAAATTTCGCATAATGAAAAATGAAATCATTACCTTTCAAATGGTATCGGTTACATTGTATATTCACGAGCATATTTCAAAGTAATTTTATAAAAATAAAAAAATTTCGTGTTTGCTCTACATGCAATCTAACTCGAGAGGTTAGCAGCAGACAAAAATACGCATGATAGCATATGTATTGGCATTGAGCCTATGATACCACTGACCCAACTAGTCAAATCAAGTATCTACCTTCCGCTGTTTCTTGATAGTTGCTGATTTGAACTCGGTTGCATCCACAACGTCCTTGACAAAAAGCTCTTTCATCAAAGATGGGCCTCTATCATGTTGCAATATTTTGTTTACTTGTCAAATATTTTTTTCAAATATGAGATAAATGATATTTTACCAGCTAGATAAAAATAAAAACAAACATATTTAAAAAAAAAATTTGTCAAATTGGCAGCGGTTATAATTATTTGAGTATTTTTTTTCGTTTTTTTTTCAGAGCTGAAGTATTTTTTTGCAATACTTGCTCAATTTTCGTGCAAAAAAAAAAACAATTAAATTTTAATTGAAGAGCATAAATGTAAGTATTTAAAAGTGTTACGGAAAGGATAAGATAATTATGAGAGCTGTAACTCTGGAAATACTTACATTATGTGTTCGTCCAGGTCATGTACGTCCCTTCACTTCGCAGGTTCGAGTTGTCACAGGAAATCA